TTGTTAAAAAAACCCTAATGTTATTTTATCGGCCAAAAAACCTTATAATTCAATTTTTTTTCAACAAACTACACCCCCTAAAAACTCACTTTATAGGGGTCTTCTGCTAAAAATAGCTGCATTATTGCCAATAAAATAATATGGGATATTTTTTTTTTAGCAATTCGATAAACTTTTTTTTTTATATCATGAAATAAAATTGATATATGTTCTAAAATTCTTGAAAAAAACAGGCACTTAGATTCTACGGAAGTTATAATGTGACGGTCACAGGCATAACAATCCAAAACAGCCCTCAGTGCCATTTGAAATTCGATAATTGCATCGGAGTTTCGGTGTACAATTTCAGCGTCTCGTCACCCGGTGACAGCCCTAACACAGATGGGATTCATCTCCAGAACTCGAAAGATGTTCTTATTCGCAGCTCCACTCTCGCTTGTGGTAATTTTAATAATTCTTTAAATCTTATATGTATATATATATATATATATATATATATATATATATATATATATATATATATATATATATATATATATATATATATATATATATATATATATATATATATATATAGATTTTTGCTTCGCCCATTTTTATGTGTGTGTATATATATATATATAGGGTTATTTATAAATGTCATGACCACTTTCTCTAACCACACAAAGATGAGAAAATTTTCTCGTTTGTCTTTTTATATTTTGTTATTTTTTTTTTTATGTATGTTCTTAAATACTCGTGTGTGTGTGTGTGTGTGTGTTTGTTTTTTTTTACCCACAACTGGCACGCACACACACACACACACACATACTAATACGTGCGGGGGGGGGAGGGCGCACGGAGGGATAGAAAAAAAAAACAAACACGCTGTGGGCCCGGCCATGAACCCAGCCTCCCGAGTCTCGCAAAACACAACACAAGAGGGCGCAAACCAAATAACGCTGGACGAAATGCACAACACTATGAATGGTGTCCGAATCAAAACATGGCAGGTAATAATTTTATTTTTTTTATTTTGGAAAAAGAAAATCTAATTAATGGTACGAGGGAGAGCTAGATCGTATTAATTTGATTTTACAGGGGGGATCGGGATCGGTGCAAGGAGTGCTATTTTCGAACATCCAAGTCAACGAAGTCCAACTCCCGATAGTGATCGACCAATTCTACTGCGATCGGAGCTCGTGCAAGAACCAAACAGCGGCAGTGGCATTATCGGGAATTAATTACGAGAGTATACGCGGGACCTACACGGTTAAGCCGGTCCACCTGGCGTGCAGTGACAACATGCCATGCACGGACGTCACTCTTACAAACATACAATTGAAGCCACAGCAAGAAAGATATCACATGTACGACCCTTATTGCTGGCAAACTTTCGGACAACTAAATTCTCCGACAATTCCTCCGGTGGGTTGTTTAATGGTCGGAAAACCGTCGAGTAATAAGATTCAGGGGGATAGTGATTCTTGCTGAGTGATTTTTTTTTTTAAATTGAGGGAGTGATGATTCTTGTTATGTATAGTGGTTCTTTATATATATATATATATATATATATATATATGTTTGATGTTTGTTTTTTTTTTGTGCGGTCGGCATGGTTTGGTTGACCCCTTAGGCACCATAAGTTAGTGAGAAATATTGTAGCAATTATTAGATGATACGAATTTTATTATTTGTTTTGCTAAGGTTGTATGGGCTTTCTCAACAATAATTTTGTAATGATTATATATATATATATATATATATATATATATATATATATATATATATATATATATATATATATATATATATATATATATATATATATATATAAAATTATCTAGTCCATGACCTAATATATGTTTGATACAACTGAAATGATTTGTGCGGACACAAAATAAAATTACACACTTTTTCCGAACTAAAAATCTAATTATTTTCAATTCTCTCAACCTCTTG